AGACTTCAAAGTGAATGAAAAGACATTCAATAGATATGAGCATCGAGGAGACAGAAATGTTAGAGGTATTAGAAAAGAATTTGAAAGTAGCCATTGCCAAAAATACTTTAATGGGTAATTATTAACACATTCGAAAGAATGAAAAAATAGAAAATCTCAACAAAGAAACAGAAGACAAAGAAGAATCAAATGCAAACTTTAGAACTAAAAAGGATAACTGATATTAAACAAAAAAGAATGGAGAGTACAGAAGGCAGAATCCACAACTTGGAGGAAGCAGTAGGAATTACCCAATCTGAAAAACAGAAAACAGCTATAATAATGATAATAATAATAATAAAGAGTTTAATGTCACTGGAATCCAGTCAAAGAAGAGGATGTAGTCAAGCCTAGAATAGTTCTCTAAGAAATCGGGCTGAACATCTTCCAAATTTGACAAGACAAGAACCTATAGATTGACAAATTGAGTGCAATTTGAACAGTTAAAGACAAAGAAATATATGCCAAGGTACATCATAACTAATATTCTGAGCTCTAAAGACAAAGAAAAATATTGAAATTCTAAGAAAAAAGTAAAAATTTATTTATAAAAGGGAAAACAATTTGAATGACAGTGGACTTCTCATCAGACGCCATGCAGGCTACAAGAAGAGGCATTGCAGTTCTCCACCACGAGAAGAAAAGAACTGCAAACTGCAAATCCTGTAAACACCCAAATATAGTTTTCAGAATGAAGATGAAGTTAAGTCATTCTCAGATCACGGCAAATTAAGAAAAATTTTCTCCTAGCAGACCTGCCCTAGAGGAATGTCTAAGAAAGTTCTCTTAACAGAAAGGAAGCAATAAAAAAGGAAGAACATGACAAAATAAAAGTAGATACAAAATGCTTTCCTTTTCTTCTTGAGTTTTCTAAATGATGTATTTCAGTTGAAGCAAAAATTATAAAAGTTTCTGATGTGGTTCTAAATATATGTGGAAGAAATATTTCAGACAGTTATAACTAGGGAGAATAATGGCACCAAATAGAGAGGTAAGGTTTCTACATTGAATTTGAACTGGTAAAATAATAATACTAATAGATGTGATAAGATAAAAATATATATGTATACATGCATACATGTATATGTATGGACATGTATATGCACATACATGTTTATATGTATGTATGTGTGCATATATGTATATATGTACACATTTTGTATATACATATATCATAATACCTAGACCAATAATTTTAAAAAGCTACCTAATGAGATACACTAAAAACACAATTGATAAAATAGGATTCTATATATGTTCAACTAACCCACAAGAGGTCAGGAAAAAGAAAATAGAGATTGAAAATGAAAAACAAAGATGACATGGCATATTTTACCCTTAATATATCAATAATTGCATTGATTGTAAATGTTTAAATATAACAATTAAAAGGCAGAGATTGGTGGAGTAGATTAAAAACCATGACCCAAAGATATACTATCTACAAAAAAATTTTTTTTGATGCTATGGTCAGGATGAAAGTAAAAGGAAATGAAAAATAATATGTGAAACAAATATTAATCAAAGAAAATTGGATTGGCTAATATAATATCAAATAAAGTAAAGTATAGAGGAAAAAACAGAAAGGGGCATTGCATAATGTAAAGGAGATCAGTTAGAGACATTGCATAATGAGAACAAGGGACAATATGCCAAAAAGTCATGAAAATCCTAAGAGTGTACAACCAAAGTACAGCATGGCCAAATATATGAAGCAGATCTGAAAGGAGAAACAGACAATTTCTCAGTTACAGGTGGTGGATACTTGACAACCCTTTCTCAACAACTGATAGAACAACTACTTGAAAATCAGCCAAGACACAGAAAAACACAACATCATCAAGGAACAGGCCTTAATCAAAACATACAGAAAACTCTACCCAGTAACAGCAGAAGATGTTTGTTGTATGTACCACACAACACATAGCAAGACAGACTATATTTTGGGCCATAAAACAAACCTCAACAAATTAAAAATTCTGAAATCATATAGACTTTTCAAAATAATCCATGGATCTCAAGAGAAATTTTTTAAAAATTGAGTGAAAATGAAATGCTACATAATAAACTTTTGGGACATAGCTACAACTGTGTTGAGAGGGAAATTCATTAGCACTAAACACATAAAAATAGACAGGAGTAGAAGTCTCAAATCAGTAATCTAGGCTCCTATTTCAAAAACTAGGAAACTAATGGAAATCAAGTACAAAAAAAAGGAAATAACATGAATAAAATGAAAGCAGAAAAACAAACCAAACATTGAAAGAAAATTGAAAACCTCCTAGCAAGACTGACAAGGAAAAAAGGGAAGATACAAATGATAAATATTGAAAGTGAACAATGGATACCATTACAAACATCAAAAGGATGACGGAAAAGGACCAGCTGTTCTATACATACAAATCTGACAACTTTCATGAAATAGGCCAGTTCCTCAAAAAACACAGACCACAGTAAGTCATTCGATAGGAAACAGATCATTTGAATACCTCTATAGCCATTAAGGAAATTACATTCATAATTCCCAGACTCCAAAACTCCATATTAGAAAGTGACAGAAGAAAAATCATATGAGTGTACTTACTGATGCAGAAAAAACATTTGGTACAATTGAACATTCATTCATTCAAAACTTAAAACTCAGAAAAATATGAAGAGGGGAACTTCCTTAAATTAATAAAGACAATATACCCCAAATTCATATTTTATCCATAACAGTATAAACAGGAAACAACCCAGAGTAGTTTTAATGGTGTATGGTTAAACTGCAGTACATCCACACCAAGGAACACCAATCAGCATTAGAAATTACTGAACTACAATTTATGTAAATCTCCAGAGGCTTATGCTGAGTGAAAAGAAGCCAAGCCAAAGAGTACATGCTATGTGGTTCTCAAAATAACAAAACCATGCAAGTGGCAAAGAGATAGTTGTGGCCAGCCGGTGAGAGCTGGAGGGTGGGACTGGAACAAAACGCCGTGTCTTTATAAGAAGTTTCTGAGGGATCTTTGTGGTGATAAAAATGCTGTTTCTTGTACGTATTAATGTCAACAACATCATAATAAATTCCAGGGGTTTTGCAAGATAATACCATTGTGGAAACTGGATAAAGGATACATGGTTTCTCTCTATATTATTTCCTACAACTGAGTAAAATTAGCTGAATAAAAAGTTAGATAAGCAAAGTAAAATGAGGTTTCCGCTAACCAGTAATCAGCACTCTACAGAAAAGACACTCATGCATGCACCCACATGTGCCCATGCACACAAGCCCTACACAGGCACTGTGGCACTATAATTTACCTTAAGTATGAGTCCATGCATCCATGCTGGTTTATTTGGGCCAAGTTTTCTCTCCTTAATAGCATCCAATTTTTGAGGATGTTATTAAGGTGCCATGTTGGTAGGTGGTGATCTTTTTTTTTTTAAAGTAACTTCTTGTGCAAAAAGGAAAAAATAAGTTAGTCCTTGATCAAGTCCCCCAAATTTGCTATTTCATGAATGACAAAAGTCCAGGAATCACAGCTCTTCAGTTTCTGTGACAGTAATGCAGTTGAAAGTGTACTTCTCTGTATACAATCTCTAGCTTTGAGTGCTGCATAACATAGTTGTCAAATGCATGTGGCTATTTGACAATTGAGTGAATCTGACTGAAAATGATGGTGTAGAATTCTAATACCAGAAGAAATTTCAAACCTTCAGTGAGGAAGGGGAAATTTTGCTTCCCACTGGTGATATCAGGTGTTGCCTCAATTACTCACATAACCACATACTGGGAAGAAGCGCTGTGTAGTGGGGGCAGTTCCAAATCTAATAAGTGCCTTTGGGTTACTTCACTTCCCTCTGCCTCTTCAGTATTCCATCATCTTAATAGTTCTTAATAGCCAGCTCACTTTCAAGTATTACCCTTCCCATGTGTATTAGATACAATATATTTATTATATCTTTATATATTTAGTATGTATTATAGATATGTTAATGTGTTTGTTGAAATTAAACTTTTAACAAAACTATTAAAATTAATATAACAATGAGTTAAAATAGTAAATTATTTTTTGGCTTGTACATATTGTGAGAAAAACAATCATGATTTTGTTAGAATGGCACATGAAATGACTAGTATTTTCCTTTATTTTATAAGTAGGAAAGACAATCATGTTTAGTCTACCTGTAAGGAATGATACAGTAGACTATAATTTTCTAAATAGCTCACTTAGCACTTTGAATTTTATAAACTTGATGAATTAGTTTAGATATAAACAATGCAGATTGAAAAGATGTGCTCAGTGTTAATAATTCTAAAGAAAATATTTCCTCTTTAATATTACCATTTTGGAGGTGACATCTCATATTATCTATTCTAAAATTGCTTTCTCATGAATTCATATTACCAAATGCATGCTATTCACACGCACAGTATGCTACCATTTTTCTTTATAAACTCTCTAGTTTATTATTAATTTTATACCACATTTTATAATTTTTGTTAATATTCATAATATGAGAACATTCATCACTATTTTATGTTTACAAAGAAATATGGAAAGGAAATATTTTAAATGTATTACTTTAGTTTCCACAACAGGTATCAAACCTGATGTCAGAATTTACAGTTATTAGAAATTTTTAAAGTCTTAACACTCTGAACTTAGCTCCATTAAATTGTTTTCTTTAGCTGTAAAGCCAAGCTTCTCTTCCTGACAAGGTGGTATCTGAAGTGGCATTTTCTAAGGAAGCTTTCTAAAGTACCTTGAAAAACAGGAGACCCTTAGTAGTATAAAGTAATATTCTTCCCCAAATGTTGGTATTAATGTGAGGTCTCTGTTGTACTGGATGAGGTAATTTGGTCTTTATGTTCTAGCATATTTTTGACAAAATCTTTGGGAAAAAAAGAAAGAGGCTTTTTGCTAGGAATTTTTTTAGTGTGTTTTAGAACCTGACAACGATCTTTTCTTTTCAAGGTGAGAGGCCCTCCGGCTGCAGGGGCATTTAAAGAAAGACCAACCAAGCCCACAGCATTTCGAAAATTTTATGAGCGAGGAGACTTCCCAATCGCCCTTGAGCATGACTCGAAAGGAAACAAAATAGCCTGGAAGGTAAGACCCCGGCACAGCTGTGACAGCCAGCTGCGCTTGCTGAAGTGACATCTCCCAGTGCCAAACAAACTTGGCTGCTAAGTAAATAAACTGAAGTAATTTCTCAGCAAATGGAAGATGGTGGGTAAGCTCTTAGAGAAGGCCCCCCGTGTCAGCCGTCCACCTTGACTAACAATTAAATTATAGCCTGCGAAGAAGAAAATGACAGAGTTGCTTTGCCTTAGAGAATTGTCTGCTGCCCAATTCATCTCTATTTTTATGAGAACCTGGCAGCCCGGCCTGTTTCAGGCAGTCCATCAAATGATGGAACTGGCGGCTGGATACAGAGAGCAACAGCCATTTATCTCCCCCAAATTTCACCTTCCTGCAGGACACTTCCAAATGGAAGCTTTAATTACCTAAATGGATAGGTCAAGATTGTCTGCTCCCTGGAAATGCAGAGCAGAATACAAAAGGAGGCGGATGTCCTTCCTGGGCTCTGCTCTGTCTGCAGCCCCTGTCAGCCTGTGCGGGCTGTCACACTGCCCTGTTAGAGGCTGACCTCCACCGCCAAAGCCATTACAGCACCGACATTTTTCTGACAAAAGGTTAATTGGCTTCAAAATAAATGTATTGCCTAATGACTCCATTCTAATGTGGCTGTGTTTCTTTCTAAAAGGCTCACTGATGTTATTTGTAAAAAGTTGCCAATCTCTTAACTGGAGAAGGCTTTTACATTTAATTTGAAAAATGAATGCGGATCTTCAGCCTCTTCTGCTATTTAATTATTTTTGTTATCAACCACTTTGCTTTTGGTGATTTTTATCAGCTTAAAGGGCTTCTCCGCCTGAAGATGGGAAAGCAGTTGTGTATGTTTGCATATTACATCAAGCTAAGGAAAATAAAAGGCTTTGGCCAAATGTCAGTTAAATTTCACATTAACTAAAGAGTCTGGAGATTGGGTCTAAAGGTGAATGAGTACCAAATAAATTTATGTTAAAAATGATCACAGTATCAAATTTGTAATGAGTACCAAATAAATTTATGTTAAAAAAAATCACAATATCAAATTTTAAAATTAATCAAGATAAAATGCTTAGAAAGATGCATTAAAATATAAACTTTCCCCTATAGACAGGCTGGAAGGATTGTTTTCATTCACATCTAGTAAATTGTTAAAAATTGTTTCATATTAGTAGCAAATATTAAATATTAAATCTTGAGCATCACCTGATATTCAGTTATTGAAATTATGAAAAAATGAAAAAATGGTGGCATCATCAGTAAGCCTTGTGGCAAACATTTTTTGGGGGGGAGGGTAAGGAATGTTATTATTCTCCTTGTCTTCATCTCTATTAGAATGCAGATTTGACATGTGAAAATATATGTGTGATGAAACATAATGTACAGCAAGTATAACCAATTTAGATATTTTAGTCTTAACAAAAGTGTATAGTCCCAAAGCTTTGTTGTGATTTTTGGGATTCATTTATATTTGATTTATTGCATGGATTTCATGCTTGCTTCTCTATGTATTTGTTTGTATAAGATAACAGTGAGATTGCTTAAAAATCTGATTTCTGTTGAGTAAAAGAATATGTCATAATTCTTTATATAAAGTAAGTGGGTGTTGGTGTTTTAAAGTAATTGTAACCTACACATAAGTTACATTAATGAAAAATATTAATATAGCTTTATTTTGACCTGTTCAAATAATTTTAAGAGGGACTTTCAGAAGTGCCAAGAGATTAAAAAAATCTTGAAAACATATTATTAATAAAAACATAGGATGAAATATTTCGCTTTATCTTTGATAATATTACAGTTGGCAGGGATAAAATTTGCTTTCTTGTTTATGTTTATATTTATTCCCTTAAGCTACTATTGATTATGGTACTGATTCAGTAAGCTAAAGAGTAATAATAAAGAGGAAACAATTTATTTGCTGTCACTGGTAGTGTAATAGCATAAATTTATAGAAACATTTTATTCCAGAACCTATAGACTTCTATCTTTTAGGACTTTACTACTATATTTCAATTGTATTAATAGCCTTGAAAATAAGACATTAATATTTTTTAAACAGAGGATTGTGAACAATCTCTTAGTGTATTCATATGTATTCCTTAGAGCATTGACTGTGGGCACAGTCTCTTGCTAGATAGTTAGGAATTTATTTAGGATGTCATTCCTAAGGAAGGAGCTTGAATGTTAAAGGAAGCAGCACACCCTTCCCCCAACCCCAAAGCACATCACCCAAACTGTGAGCTGTGCTGTACCTTCCTGTGGGGGGCAGAGCAAGGTGTCCAGTGAGGCAGACTTCTTGCTTTAACACCATCATTCCTGGTCCCTCACTGAAGGTTCTGAGCCAGGGAGCTTCCCAGGAAAATGTGAAGAGGGTCGTGAGTTCCTGAGATGGGTACACAGCCAAGTGAAAGAAGATCCATTTCTTTATCAGATTTCAGTGGCCTGTGACTATGAAATCTTAGGACTCACCACCCTAACCCATGGTGGAGGCTGTCCCCTATTCTTAGGGTCATTCCCGTATGTGGAGTTGCAGCACAGGGATCCCTGCCATGTCATTAAGTGTGCCCATTTGTTCAGGATTAGCTGACCCAGTTGTCATCTTATTAGAAACCTCATATCATCTTAAAATAACAAGAGCACTCTGTTGTACTACCTTATAAAGAACCTAAGTTAGAAAATAGAAATAAGAGTTAGAACTAAGTAAATGTCACCATTACGTCCATCCTGAAGTAACAGGACAGCCTCGTGCACATGGAAATGGCCATTTGTTCCATGTGCTAAAACAATATGGCAGGCTGAATTCCATAATCTGTCCAGTTCAGTCTATTTCTTATGTTATCACTAAAGATCAGAATGATGTCCAACACTATATCTGCAGTAGAGGAAGTGTTGTACACTTGTTCTTTTTGATACAGTACAACTGGCCATGTGTGGCCATTAAGCTTTTGAAATGTGTCTTCTGAGACTGAGGAACTGATTTTTAATTTTCTTTAATTTTAATAGCTGCATGATTTTCATATTAGACTGAGTGGCTGTAGATTAAAATAATGGCAGTCAAAAATAAATGCCTGCATCTGTTACCCAGATGTAAGAATTATCATTGAAATTAAAAAATAAGACATAAATGTGTTTTTATCACAGTTGTCTGTATGTACCATAAATTCCTTGGGGAATATGAAAAAATTGCAAAATATTTGAGCAAAAATTTCTATATGCTTATTGGTTGCCAGTTTATTATCCATGAGACAGAAATAGATCCAACTTAGAATATGAAATCTACCAGGCAAACTCTGGGTTATACTTTTACTTTTAAATATGCATTTTCTAGATATGGCTTAATACGGCTGAATTCAGAAAAACAATAATGATTACCTAAATGATCACTTTTTGGAGGTGGAGGTAACAGGGATTGAAGTTAGGGGGCACTTGACCACTGAGCCACATTCCCAGCCCATTTTTGTATTTTATTGAGAGACAGGGTCTCACTGAGTTGATCAGTGCCTCACCATTGCTGAGGCTGGCTTTGAACTGGCAGTGATCCTCCTGCCTCAGACTCCCGAGCTGCTGGGATTACAGATATGCACCACTGTGCCCGGCTACTTAAAAGTTTTAATCTTCTGCCTTTTGTACGTTCCTCTTTGTTCCACTAACATGGAAGCATGGCGGTTCTGTGGCTCGCATCTTCAGTATCCACACTGCAGGCACAGCAGTGGAAGAGCTAGGCAGTCTGAGTGAGTTACAAAGCGGATAATATTGAGCATGCACAATGAAAATCAAATTAAAATAAGATTGTGTTTGAGTTTTCTTATCTGAAATTTCCATTCTTCAATTCCTTGTCCTTTAGTGCTGTTAATCACAAGGATACTGATCAGGGTGGGAGTGGCTAGGGCTCTGCCTAAAGGTTTTCTTTGTAGGCATTTTGGAGAAAAAATATTAAGTAAACATGCAAAATATGCAGCACATTGTTTCTGCCTCTGTTGCTTAATCAAAGAGAAGAGAGAGCCATAAATACGGGAGGTGGCCCTGTCGTGGAGAGGAATCTCAGACCAAGTCTTCATGCGGGGTCTGGGGATATGAAATCTAGGGAAGCTCGCTGCGTTTCTGCACTCTGTCTTCTCAGATGCACCTCCAGGCATCCTCCACCACTGGGCTCCCACACTCAGCCTTCAAGTGCGCTGAGGAGCACTGCTCCCAGACCTCGCCTCCGCCTCTTCTCCACGTCCTCCTCCCCCAAATCGCCTTCTTTTCTCCTTCTTGCTCATCCTTTGTCCCTTTCTATTCCTTCTCCCTCTTCTTCCCCTTCCTCTTCCTCCTCTGTTTTCCTTTTTATTTCTTACTTTTTGGAATCCCTGTTCTTCCCTGTAATTTTTCCAGGACTGATTTTGGTAGAAGGAACCAGGAGCCCACTCTAATTCTCCATTTGGCAGGAATCTGAGGTCCTTTAGAGCATTCACTTGAATGAACTTGAAATAAAAATTATGACTTGCACACTTAGTGAGGAACACAATATGAATCATAGGTAACACCATAAGATGCATCATTTTATTATGAATTTAGATTCCTAGTCATTGTTTTAAATAGCATGGAAACAAAGATTTCTTTAAAACAATCACCTCAACAGAGACCTTAGGAGAGAGTTGGTAAAATATATAGCATAAGCTCATTAGATTTTTTTGAGACAATGATATTTTATGGTTAGCCATTTACTTAATTTAGAGATTAAAAAAGCTATAAACACACACTAAAATGTCTCTAAATTTAATGTAGTTGATATTGATTCAAGTCATTCCCATCTATGAATAACATAGTGCTATGTGACAGTGTGTCATATGCACTAAGAATATATGGAAAAATGTTCAACATCTCTAGTAATTAGAGAAATGCAAATCAAAACTACTCTTAAGATTCTCATGCCAGTCAGAATGGCAGTTATCAAGAATACAGACAACAATAAATGTTGGCAAGGATGTGGGGGAAAAAGCACACTCATTCAT